ATACAAATGACTAATCATCAAAAAATGCAAATCAAAACCCCAATGAGATATCACCTCACACCTATTAGGATGGCAAAAGATACCAAATAGGATATGGAGAAAAGGGAACCCTTGTATATAGTTGGTAGGAATGGAAATTGGTACAGCCACTATGGAAGACATTATAAATTTAAAAATTAAAATTAGAACTACCATGTGATCCAGAAATCCCATTTCTGTGAATATATCCAAAGGAATTGAAATCAGGATCCCAACAAAATATCTGTACACCCATATTTATTGCAGCATTATTCCCAATAGCCAAAACATGGAACCAACCTAAATTTCCCTTAACAGATGAATGGATTTTAAAAATGTGGTATATATACTTATATATACAATAGAATATTACTTGGCCTTCAAAAAAGAAAATCCTGTCACTTGCAACAACATAGATAGAGCTGGATTAGATGATGCCTAGCTAATAAAAATGACACAGAAAGAGAAATATTGCATGATCTCACATATATGTGGACTCTAAAATAGTCAAATTCACAGGATCGGAAAGTAGCATGATGGTTACCAGAAGCTGGAGGAGGGGCATAATGGGGATATATTGGTCAAAGGGTACAAAGATTCAGTTATACAAGGTGAATAAGTCCTGGAAATCTACTGTATAGCATAATGCCTATATTTAATATTGTATTTTTTAAAAATTCATCAAATGATGCTACTTATGATTAGTCTCTTCGTTGTATGTTCAAAATAAAACATAACTCTTTTGAACTCCACTTAACATACATACTCTGAGGTACTGTTTTTAGGAGGCAATGTCTGACTGCCAAAAATACTATAAAATGCATATAAATATAAGATGGATTTATGAATACATAGAGAATATGAGACAAAGCAGAAAGAGTAAAATATTAATGGTAGAATCTAAGTGATGGGTATGTGAATGTTCAGTCTAAAATTTTTTTTTCTGTTTGTTTGAAGTGTTTCATAATAAAATATTGAGGGAAATTTCATATCATGCTTGTTTCACAGAGGAAGACTTTCTATTTTCTTTTTTTTTTTTTTGAGTTGGAGTCTTACTCTGTCGCCCAGACTGGATGCAGTGGCCACTCCCGGCCACCGCAGCCTCTACCTGCTGGGCTCCGGCGATCCTTCCGCCTCAGCCTTCCAAGTAGCCGGAATTACAGGCATGCGCTACCCCACCCGGCTGATTTTTTTATTTTATTGTAGAGATGAGGTCTCGCTGCCCAGGCGGGTCTCGAACCCGCGGGCTCAGGCAATTCACTCACTTCAGCCTCCCAAAGGCGTAGGATTACAGGCTGAGCCGAGCCCGGCTTCTATTTTCATACTAAATGTTTTTTATGAATTTATGTCAAATTCTGCCTATTGCTTTAACTTGGAGCATACCGAAGTGTATATATATGTGTGTGTGTGTTTATGTATCTGTGTGTGTGTATCTATATAGTATTATATAGTGCATGCATTATATTGTTATATAGTTTATAGTTATATAGTCCATGTATTAAATCAGCCAGATAGAATCTCTTTGAAAAGATCTATTTGCCTGGGGTGTAGATATTAGAGATGGACACACTTGACTAATTAAGCTAATCCAAGAAAATCAATAAGATGCCATCTAATTAAATTACAAATCTTACCTATGGTTGTGCATGTCTAAGTGTAAGATGTGACTGAAAAAAGAATCCTAAAATAAATCTCAGAGCATCAAGGTAGAAAACTTCCAATTAACATAGCAGACTTTTTTTTTTTAAGTGAAAAAGCAGGATTTATTGAGAGGACAGAAAAGTTCTCACAGTAGGAGGGGACCTGAGGGGGGTTGCCCACAGCAGACTATTTAACATACAAAAATAATAATAATTCAGGCTAATCCTTGAGATTTGGAAAATCAATACCAAAGTTTTCACATTTGATTGCATTTTTTTTTTTTATTAGAACATATAGTCTATTTAAAAGTAAATTAGAGAGAGAGAAAGAGAAGATTCAACTCCCCAAGGTAGGGGAGGGGGCCAAAGCTAGGAAGCATGGCAACAGCCATAGCTCAAAGAGCACATGGCCACACCAGAGTCTAACAAGGCAATGATCGGTAATTCATGTGTTTTCCTGTTAACATTACCACAAACTTTGGAGTGACTTTGAAGGGGACAGTAATCCCAACACTTATCATGGAATCGACCATGTGGGGAGAGAATCTAGTCCCTCTCCACTCTTGGGTAGTGTCGGGTTTAATAACTTTCCTTAATTTAAAGAGACCCACAGGTCCAAGACCGGTGACCAAAATAAATCAGATAATGGGAAATTATAAATTGGAATTTGAAAAGTGAAAATGCAATCCATAAAATTAATTCTGTACTCCTTCAAGGTGGTTCTCTTTGACATCAAGTTCACTATAATATTAGTAAGTCCAAGGAAACCTGCTAGAAAAAAAAAATTACACAGTGGTAATATTTTTATTCTCTTGGCACAGTATTTCTAAACCCTATCTTAATTATATTTTCTCTTCCTATAACCACCAGGTTAAAAAAAAAAAAAAAAGAATCCTATGTCCTTCAAAAAGTATTGAATTCCAAAATGAGTGATTTCTTTCTAGATCTGTTTTTATTTGAATATTGACTTCAACTGCAGTTTGTTTCTTTCTTTACAGACCTTAACTTCTTTCTATTTGAAGATCTGAAATCTCAAATCATTTTTTATAAGAAAAGACCACCCTTGTTCAAAGACTAATGCACAATTGCCCCAAGTGCTAATGTTATATCTGGCACAATGGATAAGAAATCAAAACCCAACTAGGGCAGGATTCTGTAAAAAGTGCTGTTTTTCTGTGTCTACCCCAGATAATGAAATACCTAGTTAGAATCTACTAAACCTAAATACCTCTTTATAACAAAACCTGGAGGTATTCTTTATATACAGGACATTTTTTTTTAAAGATTCAGTGGGAATGTCTGATCCAGACCATGTTATCAAAGGAACATGGAATATACCAAATAGTACACCTAATCATATACAAAAATTATGAAATATATGCAGATGTTCCTCAATTTTTTATGGGGTTACATTTCTGTGTATTTCTGGGGAAAGTATTATAAGCCAAAAATGCATTTAATACACCTAACCTACCAAACATCATACTTCGTCTAAACTACCTTAAACATGCACAGAATACTTATTAACCTACAGTTTGGCAAAATCATCTAACACAAAGACTATTATTTAATGAAATATTGAATAGTGCAAGTAATTTATTGGCTATTATACTAAAAAATGAAAAAGAGCATTGTTGCATGGGTATTCAAAGTTCTGATTCTACTGAATAAATGTTGCTTTTGCCCCATCATTAAAGTGAACCATAGTAAGTTGAGAACTGTCTGTACATATACAGTGGGGTTGTAACACTAACTTCCTCTCCTACTTCATTATAGACTCCATGGAACTTTAGCCCAATGTGGCTAAGCGAATGGTACACATTCGGTCATAATGCTCACCATATTCTTTTCACATCCTCTTCCTATTTGGGCTGTATAATGATCTAGGCCTCTTCATCTGCAATTGCTAAAATTAAGTACAGAATCTTCAAGTATATTTCTGAGCATACTTGGTTTTCTTCAATACCACATCTCTAGATAAGTTACCCATTACACACAACAGTAATTTCCCCATTAAGATGGACCTCAGTTCACTGTCTCTATAGTGGTTTACATATTCAACAATATAATAAAATGTGGGTGTAAAAATAGAGGAAGTATTTATCTGTTCTATTTTCCATTAGTAAAAACAATTGGCTCTAAACTATAGAAGAGTCTTCCATCTGCATAAATATGCTTGACCTCTATAAAATTCCCATAAATCACTAGTGTAGTAGTTTAAAAATGTCCTCAAATTTTTTGTTGTTCCTCTCACTGGGAAGTAGATTCAGATTCATCTTCTCTTGAACCTAGGCTAGAGTTAGTGGCTTGCTTGATAAATATAATATGGCAAATATAGCTGTAAGATGATATAGGACTTCTGAGTTATAGGAAACCTTGCAGCTACTGCCTGGTCTGCTATTGTTCCAGGGAAATCAGCTCTCATGTAAAAAAAAAAAAAACCCGTCAATCTTACGACTGCTATGCTGTGAGGAAGCCCAAACTGGTTACAATGAGAGGTTAAATGAAAAGAGATACCCAGTCACCTAGCTATTCCAACAATCCTAACTCAGGCTCAGATATGTGAGGTAAGAAGCTACCCTGGCCGGGCTCGGTGGCTCAGTCTGTAATCCCGCACCTTTGGATGGTTGAGGTGAGTGGATTGCCTGATCCCGAAGGTTCCAGACCCGCCTGGGCAGGCGAGACCTCATCTCTACAATAAATCAAAAAAAATTAGCTGGGCGTGGTAGCATGCCCCTGTAGTTCCAGCTACCTGGAAGGCTGAGGAGGAAGGATTGCCGGAGACCAGCAGGTCGAGGCTGCAGTGGCCGGGAGCGGCCACTGCACTCCAGTCTGGGTGACAGAGTGAGACTCCAACTCAAAAAAAAAAAAAAAAGCTACCTTGGGCATTCCAAAAAGACATAATGTGGAGAAGAACAGAGAAACCCAGTCTACATTCAGATCAGAGTCCCAGACACTGGGCCTCAACCAAGTCTTCCTAAATACTTCCAGCCATTCAAATCACACCAGCTGAGTAGGACTTATCATCATGGAACATAAATGAGCCATCTCTGTGAAGCCTTGCACAAAATTCTAACCCACAAAACTATAAGTCTAGTAAAAATGCCAGTTCCTTCATATTACTAAATTTTGGAATAGCTAGTTTAATTGAGCTTAATTGTCATTTTATAGTGTTTATGAAGTTTACATTAGTACCCTTGGGGTTTGCCAGTGCTAGTCACAGGAAAAAAAATCTTGATTAACAGGAAATTTGTTATAATTTAGTATTACTCTAGCTCCTGAACATAGTGGTATTTCAATGATCTAGAAGACAGCAAAAATGTATATGTTCTCTTTTTCCAGGTACCTGAGATGTTACTATTGGGCTGTTCGAACTTTAATTACCATTGGGGGCCTTCCTGAACCACAAACTTTATTTGAAATTATTTTTCAACTCTTGAATTTTTTTTCTGGAGTTTTTGTGTTCTCCAGTTTAATTGGTCAGGTAAGTTAAATGTGAATCGCTAGATACATAGTGCTGTCATTTTTGAAAGGCTAACAAGTCTTCATAAGATTTTATGGAAGGAAAATTAAATCTGTCTGGCTTTTTTGTTTTAATTAACTTTCATCTATTTTAATGAGTTGAAGGAGGATATGATTGGGTCAACAGTGCTTTTTCCATTTTTTTTTTTTTTTTTTGAGTTGGAGTCTCACTCTGTTGCCCAGACTGGAGTGCAGTGGCCGCTCCCAGCCACCGCAGCCTCAACCTGCTGGGCTCCGGCAATCCTTCCACCTCAGCCTTCCAAGTAGCTGAAACTACAGGCTCGCACTACCATGCCCAGCTTATTTTTGATTTATTGTAGAGATGAGATCTCGCCAAGTTGCCCAGGTGGGTCTCGAACCTGCGGGCTCAGGCATTCCACTCACCTCAGCCTCCCAAAGGTGCGGGATTACAGGCTGAGCCACCGAGCCTGGCGCTTTTCCATTTTTAAACCATTAAATCTATCAAAAGACCTGTCAGCCTAGAGCATTAGTTTGGACTCTCAGAGAAAGTTGTTTCTAAGCTAATCTTTTGCTTGAAACTTCCTGAAATCCATTAAAAGCACTCTTATTTACTTAAACATCAAGTATTGTCATAAAATCACAGGGTTACAATCTACTTCACAAGTCACTTAGACCAGAGGTTATAAAATGCCATCTAAAATAATTCATAAGTTGTTTCACAAATGTTTATTATAGCATCTCCTTGTATTTATTCTCAAACAATCACAATCTAGTGAGAAATTAAAACAAATAGACAAATAATTATATTGAAGGTATTGAATGGCACTTAGTTAGACAGTATAGCATCTTAAAAGTTATACTTCCTTGTAAGGTATTTTACATTCTACATATTCAAGAGCATAATTTTAAAAAAAGAAAAGAAAAGAAAGAAGGAAAAAAAACCACGTTGAAACATTTGTCTTAGGTGAAGGATTAAGCTAAATCATGAAATGATTATTCCCACTCAAGAAATTACTGGTTTCCACTCTCCACACTCACCTTATATATATATAATATATAAATATATATATTTATTTATGAAGTATGAACAAATATATATGTGTAAAAATATATAAAGTATGAACAAACTGATCCCTTAACAAAAATTTTTTTTTTTTTTTTTTTTGAGTTGGAGTCTCACTCTGTCACCCAGACTGGAGTGCAGTGGCTGCTCCCAGCCACTGCAGCCTCGACCCACTGGGCTCCAGCGATCCTTCCGCCTCAGCCTTCCAAGTAGCCGGAATTACAGGCACGCGCTACCACGTCTGGCTGATATTTTGATTTATTGTAGAGATGAGGTCTCGCCAAGTTGCCCAGGCGGGTCTCAAACCCACGGGCTCAGGCAATCCACTCACCTCAGCCTCTCAAAGTGCGGGATTACAGGCTGAGCCACCAAGCCCAGCTGCCTTAACAAAATTTAATAATAAAAATTATTCTTCATGATTATTGAAACTGCTAACAAATAGTCAAAACTTAAATGCTACATCCATGAATGCCAAGGTGCTGCTACAGGTGATAAGCAACAGAGGAAAGTTTGAGAGCTCTCTCAGTTCAGAAAAGGGAAGCTTCACAGGAAGTTTCGCAGAGGAGGATGCATTTGAAGCATCTTTGAAAACCAGGTGGGAGCGCCTGTAGTTCCAGCTACTTGGAAGGCTGAGGCGGAAGGATTGCTGGAGCCCAGCAGGTCGAGGTTGCAGTAACCGGGAGCGGCCACTGCACTCCAGTCTGGGTGACAGTGAGACTCCAACTCAAAAAAAAAAAAGAAAAGAAAAGAAAAGAAAACCAGGTAGAAGTCAATAGTTGTAGATAGATTGTTCAGTCAATCCAAAACAGTGTGAAAAGATGGCAATGATAAAGCATAAGATATGTTTGAGGAAACAGAAAGAGTTCCAGAATGACCAGAGTGAAGGACACTTGTAAATAAGAGATATATATGGACAAGAATGTTAAATTAAAGATGTTGAGCCTTATCTTGATGTCAATGGAAAATCAGCCAGGGGAAGATTTTGAACAAAGAAAAGATTCAAGGTGAATTAATCAAATTATAATATAAATTAGAGGAGGGTGATACTGTTTTAGAATATAGGTTTAACTATTATTTAAGTATGGTAAGGCTAACAGATTAGGAGACAATTGCCATTGAAAAGATAGTTTGCTATTCACAGATCCCAAGCAGAGGAGGCACACCACACCACTAGGGGTGCAATGGGGACGCACCAGGGGTGGAAAAGAGGAGGCAGGGTAAGCAGGCTTAGGGTTGGCTAGTTTGAAAAATTTCAGCAGGCTCTGAGGTGCAGGGACTGCTTCTAATTGTCTGATGTCTTGTACTGGGGTGTAGGGTAGATAGTGGCCTGGATGTAAGTGCCCATGTGAGAGCCTGATACAGAAGATAGTTGGGAGTATGGGCTCTGGATTAGTTGGTTTGCATATGAAAGACACTCTCTCTGGAGAGTTGACCACTATCTCTAGTAATTAACTAACCCCAGGACAGACAAGCAAGGCCCCGGGGGAACAAGGTCCCATATACTAACATACCAAAACACAGAAAATAAAAATATGGTTAACACAGATACACAGGGATATGGCAACTCCAGCCTGAACATGGTAATGAATGGAACAGAGAAAGCCGTTGTAAAGGAAACTCCACGTCGAAAACATTTAGGTTTGAGGAGATGAATACCAGGAGTTAAAAACTATAAGTATAAAATATCATAATCTTAATGACTAGGAAAATTATATTAACAATTATTGAAACAGAACACTGATTGGAGAGAAATTCAATTCAAATCAATTGGAATGTAAATAGCAAAAAGCAAATTTTTTATAACTTCTCATAAAATAAGTGCAAGATAGTCACACCATAGTTAATGTTTCCTCTGTTTCACTGATGAGAAAATTCCAGTTTAAAGAGATTAAGAGGCATCCTTGATTTTTACATATTGTTCATATAGTCATATGATAGAATCATATATAATGTTGATAATAACAGTGAAATCTAACAAGTATTGAGCACTTACTATCCACAAAGCAATTTTCACAATACTAAAAACTGTCTAGCAACAGTTCAGTTCCCTTGCTACTCAAAGTGGAATTTTTGAACCAGCAGTAGTAAAATTAGTTGAGAAATTCAGAATTTAGGTCTAACCTCAGACCTCCTGGGCCAGAATCTGCATTTTATCAAGATCTACAAGTAATCCACAGTCACATACAAGTTTAAGTGCTACTTTAGATGCCACACCACACCTGCTTTTAAATTGAACCCAAGGGACCTACAGGATCAAGAAGAAATATCAAGTCACTGAAAATGTGATACCAGAACACAACATAAAGATTGAAGTTGGAGGTATAGATTTGTGCCTCAAACTCTCATAGTGAATAAGAGAAACTGAGAAGAGCAGGATGGAAACAAAAGTACAAGAGACTGGGACAAAATCTCCCTCATTCAAAATTCCCACACATAACCACACCAATGACTACACTCTCAAATTAATCATCATTTTTTTCATTTTTTCCAGAGACAAGGTCAAATTTTGTCTCCTAGGCTGGACTGCAGTGATGCAATCACAGCTCTCCGAAGCTTCAACCTCCCGGGGTTAAGCAATTCTCCCATCCCAGCTTCATGAATAGCTAGGACTACAGGCTACACCACCATACCTGGCTAACTTTTTAATTTTTTTATAGAGACTGGGTCTCACTATGTTGCCAGGCTGGTCATAAGCTCCTGGCCACAAGCATTCCTCCTTCCTTGGCCTCCCAAAATGCCAGGATTGCAGGTGTGAGCCACCATGCCCTGCCAATGAAATATACATCTTCCTCAACTCCTACACCTACAAAATTCAACATTATTGAAGGGTAGCACAGAAACTATTTAGATTACTAAAAAGTCTTGGGCCTTCAACACCAATCAATCATGCTTTTAATTGTCCTCAGTTCCCAACCTAACACTCTTTTAAATCTCCCAACCCCTAGGAACTGAAGTTGTTGAAGAATATTCAGACAGGCCACTGAGGAGTAAGTCAGAAACTCAAAAAGATGTATATGGTTGGACTATCAGCATAACTCTTCAGTAGATACTTTTGATAAGTAGAAGAATCTATGAACTCCAAACATAGAAACTGAGGGAAGCATCACAATAAAAGAACTATTTGAACTAGACCTTATAGAATGAGCAGTTTTTCCATAAGCAGAAAAAGTTCAGCAGCTACCAGAATGAATGAGCGAAGTCTTATGAGTGTTAAAGTGACGCCCTGGTTTTCCTCCCTATTATAAACCCACAGTCAAAGCAAATTTACAGCCACTTGCTTCCCTCTATGTGAGAGGAAGAGTCAAGTTATATGTCTTTTTTTTGTGCTGAGACCTTAAAGATCAGCTTTTAACCTAGAGTGGGTCTTTATGGCTCCGTTATAAACATCCAAGTACTAAAACCTGACAGTTTCTTAAGAATTGTCACAGCGGTAGATGATGCTTCAGTAATTTCAGCACATTTCAACTTCTGCTGAATACTATGCCTTAAGCATGATGAGATTTGATTTTATCTGTCTAAACAACACAAAGGGAAGTACAGAGGTTGCAATTTCATGATGAATTGAGTCTATATAGCCAGCCACACTGGATAATCTATGAAGGATGCTTTCAAAGTGAAACTCACCAAAATGGACTCGCCATTCTGCCAGATAATTGCTCGACTTTCATTGCACATTCCTTGCATAAGTACAGCTGCATAATTGTTTAAATGTCCATAACACTTTTGCAGTAATATACAAGCTTGCAAAGACTGTGTGCAATCATATGCAAAATGTGACTGAATTCTCACAAAAATCTTATGTAGTTCATCCAACAGGTCTTATTGGGTCAGAGAGAGAATACAATTTGCCCAATATTTTATGGAAATGGATGAAATTAGGACCCAATATCAGTATACTTAAAATAATCAGCTGCTGGGAAGTTGTCTGGGCAAGAAAAAATAAAATAAAGAAATGAAATCAAGTAATTAGGACATTAAAAGGGAGTTATGTGAGAACACTTAATTCAACTTTTTTTTTTTTTTTGAGTTGGAGTCTCACTCTGTCACCCAGACTGGAGTGCAGTGGCCGCTCCCGGACACCGCAGCCTCGACCTGCTGGGCTCCGGCGATCCTTCAGCCTTAGACTTCCAAGTAGCTGGAACTACAGGGGCGCGCTACCACGCCCGGATAATTTTTGATTTATTGTAGAGATGAGGTATCGCCAAATTGCCCAGGCGGGTCTCGAACCCGTGGGCTCAAGCAATCCACTCACCTCAGCCTCCCAAAGTAATTCAATTTTTATAAACTCTCCCAGTTCTTCTGCTGGAGTGACCATCTTTGTGGTTTTAGATGCGAGATGTGATTGGGGCGGCTACAGCCAATCAGAACTACTTCCGCGTCTGCATGGATCATACCATTGCCTACATGAACAATTACTCCATTCCTAAAAGTGTGCAAAAGCGGGTTCGGACTTGGTATGAATATACATGGGCCTCTCAAAGAATGCTAGGTAAGCATGGCAGACTACCTATGACTTAAATTCCTGCCAACCTTGTCATGTAGTGAAAGTTCTGTAAGATAACAGAGAATAATTGGGTTTGAACAAAAGATTGAAAAATATTTAAATGATCTTTAAAGCATTAATACCATTTGTTTTCCTTAAATATGGTGCCATATCTTATTCATGCAAAATTTGAAAGAGAAATGGATAAATGTTATTCAGTGTCTACTGGATGCTAGGTATTACACACACTGTCACACACACACACAAAGAATTGGGAAAATTAGGCATCACCTATCCCTTTTAAGAAAAGGAAACAGAGGCACCTAACAGAAATTTAGCCAAGGACACAGAGTCAGCAAATAGTCCGATTGGATCTCAGACCTGCATCTGTTCTATTCCAAACCCTTGCTCTTTCTGTGACATCACTCTCTTATCTAGAGCATGGTACAGTTCACCCTTAAACAATGTGAGGGTTAGGGGAACCACCCCTCCCTCAGTCAAAACTCCACATATAACTTTTGACTTCCACTAAACTTAACTATTAATAGCCTACTGTTGACCAGAAAGTTATCGATAACCATAAACAGTCGAATAACACATATTTTGTATGTTTTGTGTAATATACACTGTATTCTTACAATAAAGTACACTAGAGAAAAATATTATTAAGAAAATCATAAGGAAGAGAAAATATATTAACTGCACATTAAGTGGAAGTGGGTCATTGTAAAGTTCTTCATCCTCACCATCTTCAGTGTTGAGTAGGCTGAGGAGAAAGAGGAAAAGGAGGACGAGGAGTGGGTCTTGCTGTCTCAGGAATGGCAGAAAAGGAAGAAAATCTAAGTATAATTGTACGCGTGCAGTTCAAATCCTTGTTGTTTTTCCTGTGCTATTAAAGAACAGGAACCTCTCAGGCCACTCCCATCCTGCCACAGGGCACACACAGTTGCTACTACTTAAATATTTAATGGTGTCTGCTAGTACTGAAATTAAAAATAATTTTTATTAAAAGATATAAAATAAGTTCAAGATAATGCACTGCTCATTGACATAAATCAAATTCAACTTTTAGTTTGTTCCTTACCATATAAAAATAGAAATGAGTGCCACTAAGAAGCCAAAAACTCTACCGCCCCCTGAGTGCAAATTAAAGTGAGATTCTCAAATCACAAAACCTCCTAAGAGCAGACAGAAACTACCGGTTGTTGACAGGACCTGGTCTTCACCTTTCTGCCACTCTTAAGACACTCCAGCCTCCTGTTTAGAACCTCCTCCCAAAAGACCAAAACAACATGCCTCTCTCTTGAGTATCTATAGCTCCTTGAAGGCATGTTTAGCGGGCAGAAAGAACAACAAAGGGAGAGGTTTCAGGTTTCTCCCCCCTCGCTTCCCTTAGCAGCTGTAGATACTGATCCAGGGCTTAGGAGGTAATGAGACAAACCGCCCTCAGAAGCAAGGAACTATGTTTTTATATGAAGGATTTTCATATTTAAAATTTATATTGGAATCAAAATGGGGTAATAATATGGCAATTTTTATCTTTTCTAAATAATATAAGAAAACATCAAAAATAATCAACTCTCAGAAACCTGTGGCATACTAGACATGAAGAATAGGCAATTTTTTTTTATGGAACATTTTATCAGTCTAGAGACCCATCATTTAATTCACATGTAGAAAAATCTGTAATGTGGTCACATTCTTCATTGAGTTAATAAGCAAGTAAATAACAATAATTTGAATTTACTCACTTGGTACATTTCTTCTTTAGATTCCATCCCAGCTGAGCCAACTACTAATTATGCACCATCAAGCAAGTCACGGTATCCCCAAGCTTCAGTTCTTTTTGTTTTTCTTCTCTCTGATATGTAGGAATGAGAACACTTACCCTTAGGGTTGTCAGGAGGGGTAAATAAGATACTGAGTGTGACAGAGCTCTGTAAACTTTCAAATGCTACATGGTGCTCATTATTATTTGCCATCCCTAGGGTGTTAGGGCTGGAATCAATAGAATCAGAACCAGATCCTTCTACCATCCAAGCTTGTTCAAAGTTTCAGCAAGTAGAATGTTCTGGAATTATTCAATATGTCATCCAAAGTTAAAATACGTCTCTCGTGAGCATAATAGTGTTATTGTGATTGGGATGGAAGCCCAATAGAAGTAATGAAAATATAAAAGTTGATGTATCTGTTTATGTATAAAAAGTGTTTGTGGGTCAGGTGTGGTGGCTCACACCTGTAATCTCAGCAATTGGGGACACAGAGGCAGGAGGATTGCTTGAGCCCAGGAGTTTGAGACCAACCTGGGCAACATAGCAAGACCTCTTCTCTACAAAAAATCAAAAAATTAGCCAGGTGTGGTAGCACCCCCCTGTAGTCCCAGCTACTCAGGAGGCTGAGGCAGAAGAGGTAGAGGCTGTGGTGAGCGGTGATTGTGTCACTGCACTCCAGCCTGGACAACAGAAGGAGATCCCAACTAAAAAAAAAAAAAAAAAAAGTGTTTGCATTTTGTTTCCTTTCTTTTTAAAATTTTTTCTACTTATACTCTGGTGGCTTATTTCATTAATTATTCTGTTTTTGGTGTGGATGTGTTTATCTTCGCGAAGATGAGTCCAATTTGCTTCAGACCCTGCCGACGACAGTGCAGTTAGCCCTTGCCATTGATGTGAACTTCAGCATCATCAGCAAAGTCGACTTGTTCAAGGCAAGTGTTTTTGCATTTAATAAAAAGACACTGTATCAATTTCTCTGTGAGATCCAAGCTCTTGCTTTATACAACATTTGTGACGTTTTCGCCTTATGTTTTTAACAAAGTCAAAATAACCTGAAAAATTTATGTGGAATTAAAGAGTCAAATAAATGACAGATCTCTCTTCAGCAGATGACTTACTCTTTAGAAGCCTCTTTTCTAATTGGTGTCAAAGAAGAAGGGTTCTTCAGACTCTTCTTGCATTGATTTAAATATAATTAAACTCTGCAGCTCTATCTCTTTGCTAGTACATGCATCACCTCCCATTTATGAGTGCCTTGGCAATGCATGACAAATCAGGCCCAGATTAGCTCTGGAATGGCCTGACCATCAGAGAATCATGTCTAATCATGTCTTCTATTACAAATGCTTTCCGTTTAATTTTTTTTTTTTTTTTTTGAG